TACAAGAGAGGTTAAGAACACCTGAAACGGACATATATTACTTCTTTTACAGGGGCTGACAAACTTTTTTTTTGCCAGCCGAACACCTTTGGCTTAAATTATTTACTTAAAGTAGCCCCTGTGATTTTAAGTAACTATTTTAATAACTTAATGGTACTTTTTTTTGTCTATTTCAAAAACATTTATTTTTAACCGCTTTTAAGTTTTTATTAGAATTAGTTTACATAGCTATTGTTATTAGAGATATAAAATGGCATGAAAAGTTCATCACGATTATAGTAACCAAAATGATCAGAGTTATCAATAGTATCACTGTATTGTTAACATGTGCAGGAAATGTTCAAGAAGTACTCATACAGACAGAAATTTAGTTGAAAACCAACAGATTTTCAACAAATAAAAAATATTGGTTTGGTGACTTGCAGCATAGCATGTTATCTGCTAACATGCATCACGTACAAATAACGTTCTGACAAAAACGTTTTATAAAATGTTAAATCTCACAATTCAGGCTTTAAATATTTTCTTTTTTTTCAAGAAAAGGATGAGTCAAAATGATACATTATAGGGATTTTATCTGCTTCATAAACAATTCTACATACTCTATTATTATTGAAATTGAACTTTTAACTCAAACGTTTTTATCTCTTCATAGTTAAACGACTGTAAACTGTGTATATCCCCACTGTCAGAGTTTATGTTTATCATGGATGTTACTGGGCCGCTTTTCGAGCTTTCTAGTAAAGAATATGTTATCCGAGCATTATCACCTACGTCAGGATCAAAAGCAGATACTGTATGAATAACAGCTCCAATCTGACTGTTCTCTTTCACATAAACATTAATGACGGGCTCTGGAAAGCGCGGCGCGTTGTCATTCACATCAGAAACGTGTACAGTAATGACACTGGTGCTAGAGAGAGGCGGAGTCCCTTCATCAGTAGCTGTGATAGTCACGTTATACTCAGACGCGCGCTCTCTGTCTAAAGGCCCATTAACAACTAAAGTATAATAATTCTTGTACGACTTCTGAACTTTAAAAGAAGCAGAGCCCTGAATCTTCAAAGTTACCTGTCCATTTTTACCAGCATCTTTATCAGTTACAGTTATCATTCCAACCATTGTGTCAATCGGAGCATCTTCTTTTACAGTGTTAACTAAAGATGTTACAGAGATTTTTGGAACATTATCGTTAATGTCAACAATTTCCAGTAGCACTTTACAAAGAGCAGGTCTTGGCTTATGCCCTTTGTCTTTTGCCTGCACGCGGAGCTCCACAGCATTTTTTCTTTCGTAATCTACATCACCTTTCACTGTAATCTCGCCAGTTTCCGGATGTATTAAAAATGAATCTACGTGTTTATCGTTATTGTGATTGACTAAAGCATAAACAATCTCACCACTGACACCCTCATCTGGGTCGCTGGCTTGAACTCTAATAATGGAAGTACCAGGTGGTGCGTTTTCATGTACGCGAGCTTTATACAACGATTTACTGAAAACTGGAATATTATCGTTGATGTCTTCTACATTTACAATTATCTGCATTGTTCCTGATCTTGGAGGTTTTCCTCCGTCTACAGCGGTTAGTGTGAGCTGTATCACCGGCTGTTTCTCTCGATCTAAAGCTTTTTGTAGCACCAATTCAGCAGACACACTCGGCTCTCCTCCGCTCTGAACATCGAGAGAAAAGTGTTCATTCGGACTCAGTTTGTAGCTCTTTACCGAATTACTGCCCACATCTGCGTCAAACGCGCTCGGCAGAGCGAACTGCTCCCCTGGAAAAGCTAATTCTGAAATATTTAGGGTTGTCTTTGCCGTAGGAAATATTGGTGAGTTATCATTACTATCAAGTACATTTACCTCAAATCTGTATATATTTAAAGGCGAGTTAACAATTGCTTCTAGAGGTAAAGAACACTTCACATTCTGTTCACATATCTCATCTCGGTCTATTCTGTCCTTAACTAGCAGAATACCAGTCTTTACATTTAAATCGAAATACCTTCGGTTGGTCTCCGACACAATTTGAAATCCACGTCTTTCAATGTCCTGTAAATTCAAGTTAAAATCCTTAGCTAAATTTCCAACTGCCGTGCCTGGGTTTACCTCCTCCGTTATGGAATACACAATCTGCCCATCTGTAAAAATCCCAAAGCGAAGAAAGACACTAAAAAATATCCACACGTTCAAAATATGTCCCTCTGTTAAAGCCATTTTACCAGACCATTGCAGTGTATGTTAAATCACCGAAATTCTTCCGCATGACTGTAAAACGTTTTCTGCTAAATCCACGAGTGGACTGTTTCCGAGAACAATGGCGTACGACTAACAAAGCCCTTATCCAGGAAGACAGAACAAGAAAAATAGGAGGAGCCTCGTCTTGTCAGGAATGCTCAAACAACAGGCAGATACTGACATCGCGCGGATAAAACTGAGCATCACATCAAGAAAGCAAAACATTATTTTTCAACCAACCAAACAGATGCTATTTCAGCTGAATGGCAAATTAACACCATTTTTAAATATCAGCGAAAACTGTACTCAAACAGCACAAAGAGGCACAAAAAGCATGGCTTTCAAAATTACGGGCAGGAAGCAAAGCCACATTAATATAGACGAAAGGGGGCTTTTAAAAAAATGGATACATGTGTAAAGAGAAAGTTTGCTCTGCAAACCTCTTACATTAAACTGTTTGCATTCAGCTAAATTTATCACCTCGTACGAAAAAAAATGCAGATTGATTGATTGTCTGTATCGCATAATTCAATAACATCTTCTGTTCCAAAATAAAAACGCATTACATGTGTTATACGACAGGACAAATAACTGTTACCTTTGGATGCAAAGTGTTCAGCAGCAAGATGAGCTCTAGTAATACCAACAATAAACAATATAGAACAATGCAATGTCCATCATGTCTATCGTGTTTCATCTGCACTCTAAGCTAAAAACTACAATATGTTGTAACTATAAACAAAATATTAAATAGTCAAGACAGCAGAGAGGATGCCAATTATACAGGTACATCTAAAAAAAATTGAATATCATGAAAAAGGTCGATATTTTTTGTCACTCATTTCAGAAAGTGAAACCCATATATTATATAGATTCATTACACATAGAGTGAAATATT